GGCTATTTGAACACCGGTTACTGTACCAGCGGTTGCTTATTCAATTGAGAACCTAAAATGCCAATAGAGAAACTAGATTCAATTGGGTTTTAATAACTGCATTTACAATATAATGAAGGAAGAATCTGCTGATTTTATCCATGATGCATGTCTCCTGGATCTTGGCTTTGCGGGATCTCCTTTTACATGGTGCAATAACCGGTCCGGGGTGGCAAGAATATATAAACGGCTCGACCGGATATTGGTCAATCAATCCTGGCTGTCTCTTAATGTATCCACACCAGTTTCTCATTTGGCCTTTGCAGATGATTTGGTGATATTTACCCGTGGATTGCGTTCTTCGCTTAGGGTTCTAATGGATTTTGTGGGGGATTATAAACAGGCCACTGGCCAGAAGGTCAATAAGAATAAGAGTTTGTTCATTGCTTCTTCGCGCTGCTCTTCGTCGCAGGTGCGTGCTTGGTCCACTTTGGCAGGCATGCGCTATGGCTCATTACCTTTGCAATACTTGGGTGGAGTTGTCTTTGCAGGTCGCAAGAGGAAGCACTATTTCCAATTCGTGTTGGACAAGGTTGAGAAGCGCTTGGCGGGCTGGCAAAAACGATTTCTCTCATCGGGAGCAAGGTTGTTGCTAATTCGGCATGTATTGGCAGCAATTCTCATCCACATTATTGCAGCATTGGATCCCCCGAAATGGCTTTTCCAGCAGTTGGAACTTCGATTCGCAAATTTCTTGTGGGGCGAGTTGGATTCGGGTCCAACGAGGCACTGGAAACGTTGGAGCAGCTTGTGTTATCCTACCGAGGAGAATGGCTTAGCTTTGCGAAGCCTCCAGGATTTGTCTAAGGCTTTTTCCTGCAAGCTCCTTTGGAAATATACAGCAAACCAAGGGATTTGGGCCAACTTCTTGCATTCTCTGCCGGGGGGATGGGAAGACTCCTTCTGTGCGAACCGATCACAAGGCATTTGGTGGAGGATGTTTTCCAAGATAATGTTGCTTATGTTGTTAATAATGGGTCCTGTTTGTTTTGGTGGGATAATTGGTCAGGGAAGGCTGGCAGCCCGTACGAGCGTATGATAACCTTGTGTTTGAAACTCCATTCCTGGCTTCAGGGTACCCTATACCCCAACCTTTCGGGTGAGTTACCAAGTCCGGTCATTGACTCTGGAGCGATCGAGTATTCTCGCTCTGGGTATGAGCTGTCTGATGGTTCAAGATCTGTCTACTCAACAACTAGTGGAAAAGAAGATCCCCTCTCCTGCGGATCCCCTTATGCGTACCTGAAGCCTGATCGTTTTTCTCGTAGACCGCTCCTTCGGACCCTTTGCACTCACGTACGGTCCCCTTTTCTTTTACCCATGAAACTCACAGTTCAATCGATTCGGAGGGTTAGATGCGGTCGATTACTCCTTAGCTATGTTGGCTGAATTTTAAGACTTGGACAGTAGTTCGGCAAAGCCGGAAATAGAGAGAGATGTGATTAGATTAGCACGAGGATCGATGTAATTGAGGTCGTGGGATAGCAGTTTTTGAATCAGTCTCATTTGGCGTTCAATAAGTAGAAGATCAAGGCAGCTTCTGCTTTTAGGTCAGCTCTTTGGCTCCTTGCTATAAAGAGTGAAGTGACCTTCGGGCGAGGAGAAAGTCAGTAAGAATAGGACCGGAAACTGTGCGTTTGGCTATTGGTGAGTCTGTCTTTCTTGAGAAAAAATTGAGCCCCTCCATTTGGGTCATGAGACTAGCCAACTGTCTATCCCTGTGGGCTAACTCAACTTATAAGCTTGCTATCTTAGCATCCACTTGGGATAACCTTTCACTTGGATACGATCTAAAACGATTCCACATTCAAGAAAGAACCAGACCAGGCCAACCAAGAGATAGGATCAGATGAATTGAATCAATCGTTTTTGATATCAGAGGTAGGTGAAATCGAGTTAGGCACTCAAGGCATCTGTCTACGGCTGAAGGAAGTAGGCTAAGGCGCAATGCTCCCTATTTTCCGTGCTGGGTCAGCTAGCGCTTCGATTATTCTTTCCTAGGCTATTTCGTACGTGTAAGCTTTCGAAGTCGGATATCGAATGAGTGGATATCAGGTCAATTATATCGAGCCTCCCTTTCTCCCTTCATGCTAAGACCACTTTGTGTACCGCGTCTTCTATCGCTATCTACAGTGATTCTCCCGGAGTGAGGACTCAGCAGGAATAGAATTGCCCGAGAGAAAGAAAAAAACAAGGTTCTCGCGGCCCTATCGAATCCGTTCCGGTCACTTCACAAGTTGCCTTCTCTGGCGCACTCACTCCCCGCTCACTTCTGGACCCGGTTAGTGCTCTTTGGTTTATTCTGTCTGATATGATATCATATAGCCAGGAAAAAGGGATCTACTAGTCATCTTGAGCTGGTCAATTATATCGAGCCTGGAGTCGGCTATTCCTGATTCAGCAAAGAAACCTTGATCCGCTGCGGATTGGATTGATCCGGACTGACTCTATTATGATACCTCCCTCTGTCGCAATATCAATCGAGAATCGAGGGCCATTATCATAGCGCCTTATTCAGTTAGCATTCCTTGCTTGCCTTGGTCACATAGACTTGACCTGCTCCTGGGCAAGAGAGAGAGAAGGAAGCTTGGTTCGACCAGACATTGATCTTCCTCGGGAAACTCCCATGTTGATGTCGATCCAGATGACCTATCCTTTCAGTCAGAGGATCGGTAATGGGGTCAAATCCACATTCTTATTAGGGTGTTTTCGAACACGTATATAAGTGATAACTCGAAAAGTAAGCTCCCTTATCGGTCGGTCTACCCACCCGGGCATTCCTCTCTTGCTTAGCTGCACCGGGCGAGTCTTGTCTTTGCACAGTAGGAATGGTTATCCCCTGCTGCGAAGCTACTGATACGAAGCTGACTAACGAGATTGTTTCTATCGCCAAGATGAGCCGCTTCGGGCTCAGGAGACTATGGTGGTCTATGATCTAATAACTGGTGGTGAGACTGCGGCTCAAGTCCACGTCGTGAGAAAGACTGAGCTATTCTGTACTTTTCTAACCCTTTGAAGGATGAAGATGGCGAAGGCGCGGGCCCATGATAAGGATTCCCAAGCCTACTTGGTCGATTTGGTTGATAACTTTTAGTATGCCTAGGGCGGAGACTTTGCATTTCCATGGGTAGAGCACTACTAGAATGTTAGCCATTCCTATTAGGTTACTGAGCTCAAGTAGGGATTGTAGCTTCGGTGGATAGGACGTTGAAACCCGTCAAGAACAGCTAGTAAAGTGAATGGATCATGAGCCAAATGAGCTTAATTAAATCTCAATTACACCAGGACTTCACTGAACAAGCAAGGGATTGAGCAAGACGCGCGAAAGCCGTTGCGCTAACGCGCAGTAGTTTGATTGCTGGATTTCTCTTATGGGAAAAGGTTTCATCAGCTTTCTGGATAAAGTACTCCTTTCTTTAATATGGCAAGGGTTTGGTCGATCGTTTAGTAACTCGGAAAAGGGCAAAGGTTGAAGTGGGCCCGGAAGTGGACGATGTTGAGGCAGTTATGTTAACAGGACCTTGACGCCACGATATACTGAAGGCGGGCGCCTAAAGGACTGGTCTTTGTTGCCAAGCCAAGAGGTTAGTTGTCAATGTCGTACGCGTACATAATAAGTAATCTCTTCCTCTAGGAACGTGGTGCCAATAGATCAATCAGTACAAAGCTTTTCAGATGCCCGGGTTGCTGGTAAGGGTTGTTGTGCAAGATCGGCCTTTATTGAAGTTTGGGGAAGATATATATATCCACTCATGAGATGAATGTGAATAGTTTCAAACACAATCTTTAAAAGAAGAGTATTGCGCACATCCTTTGTAGTCGATTTATGAAGGATTTCTCCATACCATAGTTTTCAGGTCAGAGGTGGAGTTCTATCTGATGTTCGCAGGAGAGCGCGTATAGCTCTTACTCATCCTCTTCAGGAAAAGCGAGTTTGGGTCGGTTATCGGGCAGAGGATTTCCCCTTCTAAGTCGATATTCCTGGCTCTGATGTTGTTGTCAGAAGAGGGGCACTTTCCCAAACAGCAAAAGCAATTTGCAGCAAGTACATTCTTTATCGTTAAAGTTTTGATGGAGATGGACTTCTCTTCTATATCTGGTAAAGGTGTTTTTCTGGTAGTTGTAATTCCGTCTTCTCCAATGTTTCCGTTAA